ATAGGCATTCAACATTAGATGATATGCATTCAACATTACATGACATGCATTCAACATAACATGATAGCCATTCACCATTACAAGATAGGCATTTAACATTACATGATAGGCATTTAACATTACATGATAGGCATTCACCATTACATGATAGCCATTCACCATTACAAGATAGGCATTTAACATTACATGATAGGCATTTAACATTACATGATAGGCATTTAACATTACATGATAGGCATTTAACATTACATGATAGGCATTCACCATTACAAGACAGACATTCAACATAACATGATAGGCATTCAACATTACATGATAGGCATTCGACATTAGATGATATGCATTCAACATTACATGACAGTCATTTAACATTACATGATAGGCATTCACCATAACATGTTAGGCATTAAACATTACATGATATGCATTCACCATTACAAGATAGGCATTCACCATTACATGATAGGCATTCACCATCACATTGTAGGCATTCGCCATTACATGATAGGAATTCACCATTACATGATAGGCATTCACCATTACATGATAGGCATTCATCATTACATGGTAGGCATTCACCATCATATGATAGGCATTCACCATTACATGATATGCATTCACCATCACATTGTAGGCATTCAACATTACATGATATGCATTCACCATCACATGATAGGCATTCACCATTACATGATATGCATTCACCATCACATGATAGGCATTCACCATAACATGATAGGCATTCAACATTACATGATAGGCATTCACCATTACGTGATAGGCATTTAACATTACATGATATGCATTCACCATCACATGATAGGCATTCACCATTACATGATATGCATTCACCATCACATGATAGGCATTCACCATAACATGATAGGCATTCAACATTACATGATAGGCATTCACCATCACATGATAGGCATTCACCATTACATCATAGACATTCATCATTACATGAAAGGCATTCACCGTTACATAATAGGCATTCACCACGACATAACAGGCGCTCGATGGTAATTTTTAACATACGAAAGAATGATTAGTCTAGAAACCACGTGTTAGGAATTCACAATTACAGTTGTCGGAAGTTCCAGGAAACGGAAGGGCCACGAGACCGAAATTGAGAAACAAAAACCTAAAGTTTGAGATTATGAAATGAATATCCGGAATATATACACACGGCATCTGAACTAATATACAGCTAATAACAAACACAAGGTTTTTGAACGACGATTTCCCCTGTATTTGGAATGATGTAGCAGCTGGCCTTCAAATGCCAATATTTATTATGCTTTGCTAATAACTGCTAATATTGTCTAGAATATAAACTTTCCATCTGTTTTATTATGTATATTAATCACTTGTATTCAATACAGGATTGTAAGTGATTAATGAGTGTGACAAATATTAATTAATTGAAACGCCAATCGAATTAGTTGAATGTTGACATCCGTAATATGTTGAATAACATTGTAGTGTAATGAACACAAAGAAGCTGTCATTATAGTAATTAGTTTCTTTGGAAGTTTCGATGCTTTGAATAATTAAATTCATATTTATAGGTGACATTTATAGTTGAAAAACACGATGAATGGCTGGTTGAAGTACATATCAGTAAAAAACATAATTTGAAAATTTACTTACTAATATTAGGTATAGCTAAATCTATGCTTTATAATTTTGAAATAAAATTAAACATTTCTGTTTTTGAAAGCATATGGAAACTATTATACTATTTATGAAACACATCATTCATTCACTGCATTGAGTTGAATTATTTTGAATGAAGAAACAAAAATTCTATATTTAACGTTGGATATTTATTAATAGAACAACATATTTTATTATTCCTCATGACCATGACAGCCAAATTCGCACATTACAGGTAGACATATTCCTATGTCGACCGCCTGACATTTTTGTATGTCTGCCCACATCCGGGTACCTTCCTCCCGAATTTACCTGATTTACGCCGGTTGTCCGAAGGTTCACGAGACCGAAGGTCCACGAGACCGAACATAAATAATACAATTACTTCAATCAATGATTTGAAAAAGAAATCTATTGCGCAAGTGTTTAACTTTATGATAGTATATAAACAAATAAAAAAATTAAAAACGATAAACCATGAAATTTTGATGTCATGTGGAAAACCGGGAAGGTCTTTGCACTTCATAGTTCACACTTCATAATGCATAAGTCACGTGGTGCAGGCGACGTGTGCGGAAAGCTCCACTTTACATAGAGAGTGCATACTCCAATATATTGGTACCATGATGCAGAGGTGTAGACAATTTTTTGTATCATATTACGCCGTGTATCATAAGTATTTATAAACTATTTCTATTCAAAGCAGCGGAAATTGCTGCTGCCTGATAAAATGTGTCACACTATTAGTTATATTGTTATGGTGATAGTATATATATTACTAACCGTAAGTATAAGTAAGTAATGTTATCGATATAATGACATATTTACTGTTAGACACCATGTTAGAACATATTTACTAAAATTCAACATGTATTTATGTTTTTAAAAGCAAAACATATCTACTGCCAGTCGGTCATCTGACTTGGATATTTTAAACAAATTAAAAAGCGAAATAGAAACCAATTCTGTATAAATTACAGTAGCTTTCTTGTTTTATTATTGGAAAACTTATTTGGAATTTTTGTCGAAAACTACGTAACACTACGATGTTAGATAAGCACATTCCTTGTAAGAAATGAATTATAAATTACATTTTACATATATATCATAGCAGCTAAAAAGTTGTTTTTTTCGAAAGAGAGGTTAAGTTTTTAAAATACATTAGAGTGTATACGTGCACAACAGAAAATCATAGTTATATTAACACTATATATGAATAAAAAAAACAATGTTGTCAATATAATTATAAATGCCAAAAGGAGGTTTATAACAATTTTAATTTGGCATGCAAATAAGACGTCATATTATTAAAGACATCATGATGGCATGTTAATTTCATTACCTAATTATGACATTTGTGTTTAGCAGCTGTAATATAAATACTAACAAACTAAAGGTAGCTATATTTTCAACGTGCAAGGCGAAACAATATAAAGTACTGATTTAACAAATGTGAGTTGTGTCATTCGTGGCCTCAAGATTCTTCATGATGCAGACTAGCCGGAAATCCGGACTAGCGCGGATTTCGTTATACCTTCGGACAATGCAGCAAAAACACTCCAAAACGCAGAATTTTCCGCATATCAAATTTACGTCCGACGTGTACTGAAATGTTAATTTTAGCTCACAATCTAGAAACCGGTGTTCTGCAGACCGCATTACCGTGAGGGGAAGGGGATAGCAAGAAACATAGTTCGTTGACTAGTTCACAGCAATTCGGCGGATTCGAACGTTTTCTGTAATCAATATAATTACATTGTTTTGTTTTGTTTTAGAATGGAAAATATCAAACAGTGCTCGTATTCAAACCTTTAGCCACCATTGTGCAGAAAGTACATTGGAAAATTGTAATAAAAACTTGTGAAAGAAATAATCTGGCAGGAATTCTTTAAACAAGGTGGTTCGCTTCATTTATTCACGTTTTATGATTGTCACCTGATTGTCACAAAATCGATGTAGCTATATTGGGCTTTCAAAATATTAACTATTCTCTGACGTAGGGCATTGTTCTCATATATAATGAAAATGACGCAATTACAGAAACAAACTGAGAACACGTGACTATTTTAATATAAAAACGTGAATATTGTGTGGTTCATTTATGTAGTTGCGTATAATATACTATATATTGGTATATTGTCCATTGCTATTTCAAAGCATTAAAAAGTCGCTTTATTTGCTTTGTGTTGAATGCGTCAATTTATATTCTTCTATGAATAATAATCCAATATAAAATATGATACACGTTTGTTTTCGTCATTGAAAATAATATAATTCTTTGCAGTAATCGGCTGAATGGTGAAAAAATGTGTTTCATAAATAGTATATAGTTTCCATATAAACGGTGAATGCCTATCATGTAATGGTGAATCCCTGTCATGTAATGATGAATGTCTATGATGTAATGGTGAATGCCTATCATGATGAAGCGCATGCCTATCATGTAATTGTGAATGCCTATCACGTTGTGACGAATACCTATCTTGTCGTGAATGCATGTCATGTAATGTAAATGCTTATTATGTAATGGTGAATGCTTATGTGATAGTGAATGCCCACCATGTAATGGTGAATGCCCACCATGTAATGGTGAATGCTTATTATGTAATGGTGAATGCTTATTATGTAATGTTGAATGCCTATCATGTAATGGTGATTCTATTATGTAATGGTGAATGCCTATCACGCTTTAACGAATACCTATCTTGTCGTGAATGCATATCATGCTGTGACAAATGCATATCAGGTCCTGTTGAATGCCTACTATGCAATTGTGAATGCTTATCATGTGATTGCGAATGCCTATCATGTCCTGTTGAATGCCTACCATGTAATGGTGAATGTCTATCATGTAACTGTGAATGCTTATCATGTGATGGCGAATGCCTACCACGTAATGACAATGAGTATGATAAGACAGTCATTGCACTCCATACATACATAGCTGCGTTACGGTAACGGCCCTCAAAACGGCGAACCCGAGTACGTGTCAAGTACGCAAACTTACGGAAAACCTCAAAGTTGTTTAGCATCAACATCAATATCAGCCATATCACTCAGCTACGCTACAATAACCGCCCTCCCAAAAAAACTAGTCCTAATTTCGTGTCAAGTACGCAAACAGACAGAAAACCAATTTCAGCTTTGTGTGTTGTCATCAACGTCATCATCAAATCAAATGCCTGGCTAGTATCGATAGCATCGGGATAATACCATCTCCATATGAAATAAAACACTTACCCTTGAATCATTGCATACTAAATGTAATTCATATGCACTCAGTATGTCTGTGTTATTATTGATGTCACGTACGGCCTGCTGGGCGCTACGCAAGCTCTCGTGTCCGAGCTCGTTCCAATATCCACCACTGAGAGGTAAAATGCAACCAATGTACAGGTGAGGTGGATCAGCAGAAACTTCATAGATAAAACACGACATGCAGATATTTAGAAGAAAAACGACCAGCGACGCAGTATATAACGTGAAATGGAATTCCATAACTCAGACTGTATCGCAAATCAACTTCGATTCCTTGTGATACTAACGAACGCAGGAGAAGTTGTTGCCGAGGAACGAGAAGTGATCTAATGCGATTATTTTTTCAGATGATTGACTGATGAGGCATGCAAGTCATTCGTCTTTACCGTTGCGGCTCCTCCTCCACCTTTGTTACCGTTTCGCTGCTGATCATTTGTCGTTTTTGACGGTCAATTGTCATTGCCATGGAGTAGCAGTTGAACCCGTATGAAGGAGAACAGCTTATATGATGGTGTATTATTACGGTACTGTGTTCAATTCAAGTGAATTAAATTTGAAACAGTTTGGGAATATTAACATATTAGGTCGTAATTGCAACGTGACATTATGTGTTCGGATGATGGAATACACCATACAGTCGACTGTCATAGTTTTTAAATTGATAAATAGTCGCTTATTGCATAGAGTCAGTCTTTATGGCATTTTTAAAGACCAGTATCTGGCGACTGACATTGTTGTGACGTACATGTCTTTTTTTTACTGTTTTTCTTTTTCCAGGAATCTAATGTGTTTGAAAAGATTGCATTCGAGACAATAGCACAGTACAGCATATCGGGCACGTTCATTATATCAAAAAGTAAATGATTTCAAATTGTTATTGTTAGTTTGAATGTATTACTCTGTTACATTTATTAGGTTTGTTCTACAGGTTCGCGAAAGGTTTGAATTGCATCATTTGATGTTTTGCTCATAAACACTTTCTAAAATATATTTCCAGGTGAAAATGCTTTTGCCCCACACGCAGGTACTAGTATATGGATAATGTAATCATGTTATCAATTACTGGAAACACTTAAATGTGTCTGTTACAAGCACGTACGTCTGAATATTCAGTACAATGGTAGTAAACATTTGTAATATGCATTTTACGTCAAATTTCAAAATACTTGTGAATAATAAATAGTAATTTAAAGTGGGACAAAACTATGTCAAATTGGATTGACAAAAGTGAAACAGAAAATTGTTCCCTTAAAATAAATGCGTGGACAGCCTTACAACGACAACACGGTGAAAATGAAATAATGATGAGACATCAATATTTATTGAAAGAAAGTGGTTTTCCTCATCTGTTAAATATATTCTTATTTTGGGAAACTTGCGTGAAGGAGCGTTTTTTTTCCTTGAGCTGACATTCATGTCTTGTATTTTATCATCTTCAGCATTCACGTGGGATTAATCCTAGATTTCATATTAATAGTGCCCCAAGCATTTGAAGACAAGTTTGTTCCTAATAACAGGAATGTGTGAGTATGAAATGCCAACGACAATGGAGACTCTAGTTGACGTGCAAACCGTGACAATGGTGCCTAATCCGATAAGATTTCGTATATGTCAGTTAAATCAAGTAACCGGTTTATCGTTTCATTTCATTTTATTTTTGGTTGGTTGATTGTTTGGCGTTCTAAAGCCACGCATATGTGCTATAGTCTATAATCCTACGTTTTTTGATACGTAGGGGCATAGCATAGTTTCGTATGCGAGATGGGACTTTGCATGTTACCCCGCGGGGGCAGTTGATACATAAGCTGGGTACTCCCGAGTGCTCAAAAGCTCAAAAGTATACCTGGATAGTGGCAAAACTTATACCCATCTTTATATTAAAGTACAATTTCTGTCACCACTGTTTATTCCAAATAAAACCTTTACCCACTGCTCTATTAGAAGCGCATCTCCAATATATGCAAATGTAAGCAAACAGTTGCATTGTATATTGATTTATTAAAATATGTATTTTGACCATAGAAACACCTCTGTCACTTACATAAAACACATTATTAACACAGGTAATTTAGGTTGTTGAATGAGAAACAGTACTAATCGGAACAATATTACTGATATTTCTACCTATCTTGACCAAAATCAAGACCGATACTTACACCTAAAATCCAAAAAAAGAGGCCCATTTCAGGGGCACGTCCCCATTAGGCAAGTTCTATGTACTGCCCCCGGATTTTACCATACGCTCAATTAAGATACACTTACTTCATTAAATGTGTATAGCACATTAGTAGCGTAAAAATGTCACCGAAATACTTTCGCGTTTGTCGAATCGCGCTCGATGTCTTAATAACATTGCGACGCTATGATCTTTGTTTGTCCTGTTTTACGTTCCATTTCACGCACAACTCGGAATCCCGCGGGATCTCGCGATATATTGCAAAGCGTTAAACGGTCAATACGCTGGTACGAGATATCAGGCATCAATTCTGGATACGGCAAGTGTGTTTGCGCGGATATCAGTGCTTTTAGTCTATTTAAATTTGTTTTATACGCATATATTCTAATCAGAATGCACCAAGTGTGGGCGTATTTAATATTACAGTCTCCTCTAAAAAGACTACCACCATTGATTATTACTTCTTTCTTCTTCTGCTCAACGTTCACAATGAAAACAATACATAAGGTATATCACGATAAGAACAAGCAGTATAGTGACGTCATCACTATGACATCTAATATCAGATGGTGTAACGTTGCATATGATCCAGTGATCTATCTCGTTTTAACAACGTCTACACTCTGTTGGCTTCTAATTTGGATAGATTGTTTCCTAATATCATTTCTTGTTGACGGTTTTATACAAAAATTATGAACATCCAACCGATGATAGTAATTTCATATTGAGATGTTATTTTTTGGCAAAATAAACAAAAACTATGGCACACTGATAAGGTACTTCTCATTGTAGTAAGTATTTTCGCAGACGTCGCATCGTATCCAATTGTCATACCGTAACACCAGTTTTCAAAAATCCCATCTTGGATTTACAGTTCCAATCTTCGATAACACATACATAACATTTCAAAATAGGATAGACGGCACAGTTTATTTTAATTGAAGATATAACAGTTTGAATACACTTGTAATTCTCTCGCGTTAAAATCAAACAAAGATGTGCGGAGAGTCGCCAGTAATTTATTTGTATTGACTTTTAAACATGAATTCTGTATGAATTCGTATAAGACGCTTTTACAAAAATACTAATATTGCGCTATGGAGTTTTTGTACAATATATTCATACAAGATATTTTGTTTGAAAGAAACTAAATTGGCGCGTGCAAGCTTGTACCAAACTTGTAAAATAACACTGGGTGTACATTATATACTAAAGTGTGGCACATGAAGGCTTTCCTGGTCAAGAACCAGAGATTAATGCCCGCGTTGTGTCTAAATTGTGTAACATTTACTTGAAATCTGATAGACGCTTGAAAACAATAAGATTAGGTTTTGTCTTTGCAATTCCCATGCTATCAATGGGATACAATTTCCTTTATTTACTCTGGTCACTCTGTCATTAACAATGTCCGATCAAAAACATATCTCTACAATTTATGTTTGGTTTTGTGATATATATATAAACACGCAACATTATGTGAGTCTGTCAAAAAATAGAACAGTAAAGAAGATTATAACCCATAGACTATAGACTATCAAATGGCAGGGTTGAGGCTAATAATAGAGGTAAATGTGATCTAGTGTAAATAGAGAAAATGTGAAATTTCTTGAAGGATTCGCCGATTCAATACCCGTCACACTGTTCTTGCGTACACTCCCAGACACCATCCTCACAACCACTGAAAATCACATAAAATAAGAATATGATCAGTTATTATCCAATGCTTAGAGTAGGTACAACATTAACTGATTCCACTCTTCTCGTAAATGCTATCACATAGCAAACGCGTGGAGATTGCAGGCGATATATGGATGTAAAGCGCCCTCATAATATAGACATTGGAAGTGTTCATGGATGTAAGTCTTTTTCGTTAATTGAAATACATAATGTTATTCATGTACCGCGCGACGAAGAGAATTTCAATGCAGACTCCGAAAAAGAGATTTATGCCTACTATCATTACTAATTAATATAGTAGATGCATATAGATATTCTCACGTAATGATACCCAAAGTGTCAAATAATTGAGTAGGAGATAAATCGTATAAAACAGAACAGGTATGTGGTGAAAATGTTAAAATTTATGGTAAATTTAATGGAGACTCCAAGTTTATACCAAAACAGAAACCCTCGGAAAATCAAGCAAAGTCTTCGAAAGTACCGGTAAATAAATGTGTTGTACTTTGTTTTTAGTATGTTTCTATTTATGATGGAACTTTGAAATATCATCAGCATAAAAGCAGAACTGTTTTAACAAAAAGTACATGGATTTGACAAGATTAGGGTTGATGAATAAAATAAACATAATTCTACATTTCACGTAGTCAAATCATTAATAATGCCAAAAAATAGAAGATATTTAATCTACTTGGATTTCCATTCCTATACGCATTTTCCCACTTACCAAAAGTTACATGAATGTTGTCTGTATGAGCCTGGTGGATAATCAATTCCGTCATGGCGGCATGGGGATATCGCATCCATACATAATGTACCAAATTCACCGCTGGGGCAGCATTTCTGAGTCTCTGCGCAGTCTCTGTCGTCTTGACAACCAAAATATGCAAATTCGCCGTCCGTGTCTCGTATTTGCTTAAACGTTGTTCTGATAACCAGTGGGCACTGACCTTTTTTAATTATCTTCGATACGTTGTACTCACTCACTATATTTTGTTAGAGAAAAAAAAATTCACTCACTTTGGGTCACATTAACGTTTTCTTATATTCTTAATATTCCTGAGAATAAACCCTAATTTCGGGGTCAACTGACAAATTTTGAGTAAATTTTCATGGCTATTTTTGTTCCAGTTTTCTGAAGAACAGTGCAGACTTTAAACAGGACTAGGTGAAAAGGTTACGAATGTAGCGTAATACAGACTTCAGGAGAATGTATTAACATTTTTTAATGCATAGTATTTTTTAAATCGTATACATTATTAAACTTCATAAACACATAAAAAGATGAAGGGTCAGTGTTACTGTGTCGAGAGTACTGTATTTACCAACCTTAACAAGTGCTGTGTGTGTAAATCGTGTTGTGTGTAGTTTGTTAATAATACAGTCAAATAATAAAGTCGAGATACAAGGAGCAGTTTTTACTATCAATGAGTTCTCCTGTACAACCAGCTGAGAAATTGTAAGTATTAAATAGGGAATAAACGTCAATCAACTGAAGAAAAGAACCACCTTTACGCTCGTTAAGGCAAATCTTATATTCTTGAATGAATTGAGTCTCAAAACAGCACGTATACACTAAATTAATCTCTCATTATTCGTGTTTTTCTCTATTCAATTGTATGCTTTAAAGGAAGTCGTCCATAAATTGAAATATACTTCGTACGAATGAGTAACGCAAAAATGTTGCACTTCAGATCAACTACAGGTCAACAATTAGTTATTATTCACACAAAAAATGTAACGATTCTGCTGAAAAACAAAAAAAGACCAGTTAAAACTTACAACACATTTCATGACTGAAACGAACGTCATGTACATATCAAAACATGTACGTGTGTAAGCTTTATTTGCGACGCATTCTGTCTATGGGCAATGAATTGCCACGCAAAAGAAAATCATTTCACCTTCCAGGGTTGATTGCAAAACCACGGTGCATTTAGATTAGCAGCGAAAAAGAGGACCGTAACAATATTGCGCCGTTGGTCATACAGTGCATTTAAGCACAGTCCCTATATAGTGATAGAGGGACTGTGATTTAAGTATCACTTTTGCTATCACACGGACACGAACGACAACAATGCTTCAATTTTAAGAAGGCAAAAAATACACCGAAATCATGTTTTCAACTATTTAATATCCAGTGGTTTGAAAAAAAATCATTATAACGGTCAAATGTATATTCTGTTTTGCCCTTGGGTTTTATTTTCCCTCGCGTAATTGTACTCGCTAAGTACATTTTAGGGTCTACATGGATTCGTGAGTCGCAGTTTTTGAATATTCATAGCTTAGCTCCTTGGTTACTGGTAGAATAGAAATGACAATTGTTCAGAATCTTGAAAAGTAGACGGCATTTGCATTTCCGGTGAAATAAATTGCGCAACAAAATTGAGATTACTATCCGAGTAAAAAGAATTCGTTTGAAGCACGCTGTAACGTTACGTTTGTTTCAGATACGCGAATACAAATCATACACAATTTCTTTCACTTTTCCCAGCAAGAGAGTTCACATAACTTGCGAGATACTGAGGCGAGATACTGAGACAATATACCGTCAACCTGCAAATACTCACCGGGAGCATAATTGCAACAGAATCTTATCTTGTAGTCCAGACAATCATCGAAACCCTCCTGGTCCTTGTCACGACAAATGAACCCGTGCTTTACGTCCATGTATCTAAAGACTTGACCCGTCTGCTCAGCTGGAACGCCATCTACGGTGTGCACTTGAATTGCCGTCGGGAAGTCACATGATTCGAGAGGGTATTCATCCCGTATGACGGACAATAATTCTACGTCACCGATATCGTGCGTGTCCATCCCACACGGATTGTCCAAATCAAACCATGGCGTGAGCATGTCCTCGTCACAGAAAGATGGTTCTACGGAATAAATTAAATTTATTAGAAACGTAAATGATGTTGCATCTGTCTAAACATTGCTACGTCATTACATTTCCAATGACGCACTGGTGCAATCCCTGGGATTGCGGAGCCGCGCTTTAAAACACGTCAATCCTGTCGCACAGTGCGTCTCTCGCCACAGAATCGCTCACACTTCGCCTCAACGTGACGAGTATTATCATGTACTGATAACAAATCTGTTTGCGCGAAAAGTCTTTGTAGACTTTTTTTCAGTGTGCAGGCAAATTTAAATTTAATCAGCGGGAGGGGGAGGAGTAAAACGTACTGCCCCAGTGGTAAGTCACAAGATCAGACTTTGTACAGAAAAAGTTAAATATCAAAGGAAAAACTTTTTAAGGAAACTTGCATTTAATGAAAACAATTTCACTGGGAGGTGTATGTGTATGTGGGCAGGCAGCAACGACTCTGCGTTATTGCTTGGTTAAAAGAATGAGCGGTAGTTCATAATCATCAACTCGCTGGAGGGAATTCTAGACTTTTAGTTTTAAAAAGTCAGTCAGTGAGGGCGTTCTGTGACACAGTCATCTACAAATTTACAAAGTATAGTGTTCCAGATTACAGCCTCTATATACTGTAGAACGCATAGCAATAACTACACGCATGTTTAAAGAAATTGGCCCAAGGTATGAAATAATAAAATTTAACTGATAATGTATATATAGAATCTTTTAAAAAAATCGTGAACTAGCAAAATTATGGATTAGCTGAAATAAAATGCTAGCAAGAAAGACATATGCCACAAAATGCTATTTCGTCATATTTCATTTTTTAAGTCACAGAACATTTTTTTTTCCAATGATGTACGTAGGTATCATAGCAAGTGGGTGGTATACAATTTAAATCTGTATCTTCAAGTGGTAAGGCAATAAAGTCTGCAATGCGGGGTGGTAAGGCAATAAAGTCTGCATTGCGGGGTGGGAAATAGGAACAGTTAGACAGAGGCGTAATTGGGAGTAGTAGCAGGCGGGGGTGTATTAGTGACCATTGGCTGAGGGGAGACCATTGTGGGTGGGGAGTTACGAACAACTTGAAGTCTCCGATTGTTCATATCACGTAAACATAATGCTACAAATTAATTCCTGCCCCTGTATTATAGTGTAGATACCTGGACAACAGAGTCGTACACGATAGTTGAGACACGGTTCACCATTCTGGTCGGCATTTCGACAAACAAACCCAGTGACGACGTCGAAAGAATAGAATGTCTGGCCCGTGTTGTACGCTGGGATACCTTCGTCAGTCTGCACGTCAATTGACAAAGGATTCTTGCAAACATGCCCAGATGACGAGATAAGGTATTGTAATACTTCCAAGTCACCAGGAATCACTGATTCATTGTAGGATTTGTCAAGATCGTACCAATCCGTCCATGTACCATTTACACAATTCTGATCATATGTCGCTGCAACGGAATTAAATGATTTATTATTCCATTCAAATTAAAAAAAATACATCTAACTTAAAGCGCCAGAGTTCGCATTTGATGTGGGTCTAATGCAATGCAATGCACGCAACGCATGTAACATAGATTGTTTACACAATATTCGAACGAAGGTCGCGACAGGACTTTAGCGCTTCGAGCACAGTCCAAATGTGGACATTATTTAAAATTACGATAATAATTTCTGATTATGTGCATATCTAATAGTATACTGATGAATTATTCATAGCTGGAACACATACGAGTACGTTGTGTGCAGCAAATAACGCGTTCTAGGTATATTTGAAATAATATGCAAGAAACTCATATTATGTAATACATTATGTAATAATGACGTCATACTTACAAATTGGACAGCATATTCCTGTTTGAATCTGACTGATATTAACTGCTTGGCAAAGATGAGTAGCGGGGCAATCATGAATAATCTCCAATTTACAAAATACCAGGGAATTAGTCACATGATCAGCGATGAGTGGTGTCCCCCTATCGCACATATTGTACAAATCCCCTAAAACAAGAAAAGTTTTGTTTTATGCTATTATAGTTTTGAGAAAAAAAATGTACTTAGTAGCCGTTTGATATTTTGCGAAATGACAAACCGAGCTGTGTGTTTCAACAGGGCATAAATCCATTTATCGATCTAACGGTCCTGTGAAATGATTTGGCTTTTGTGCAACACCTCTCCGTTGCGTTTGAATGAATCCCGGGGCACGCATGCTTCACACGTAACAACATGTCACAGAGATATGTTGCACGTGTTAAGGTAATTGGTTACAAATTAAACCGTAATGCCATATTTCATTGAGTTTTGACATACGGTTTTATTTTTGCTGACCCACTAGAAAGGAAATGTTAACTGACCATAAAATGTGTCAATCATCTATGAATAGCTATTTACAACCATTTCTTATTTGTTCCAATGATAACAATGTTTCGTCAAAACTCGTTTCGTTTTTCTTATAGAGAAAAAAATCAGGTATAGTTCTAAAAAGTTTGTTCCAAATAATTGGGAAATTCTTATTAATATTTCATACTAAAATGTCGATGACTCATATTTAAATCAGGAACTATGTAACACTTTTAAAACGGGTGATTGCAGTGAACGATTTTAAGCTTATTTTCAATGCACGTGGGATGTGGGGAAAAAACCATAGAAGAAATAAATGTCTCACCGCAATACTGATCCGTACAGTTTATGCTTCCATTTGTACATCGACTGAAATATAAACCGATTGGACATTAGTAGTCTACTACAGATTAGTAACTGTTTTAGATGGTTCGTACACCCAAAACATATGTTTGCAGTAGCACTGCAAGTATGTAGATCCCGACTTCATTCGAATGATTACATCTCTGCAGCCACGTCACCAGAGAATGTCATGGCTACAGTTACGTGCCTCGAGTGACTGTATGATTACAGGCCACTTGAATGGGAACATTCTAAATTCATACAGAATGCAATTTCATGTTAATCAAGTAATGTTTAAAATGAAATTTGTCGAATGTAGTGGTTGATCTGACACACGTTATAACATGGTACATACGAGAACAAACCAAACATATTCCTGCATATAATAATATTCATAACGTGCGTAATGTCATATCTTAATTACCATAATGTACATCCTGTTAACCATTCCTCTCCTTCCACGTATGCCGTGCTATTGGTTTGGCAATATACGGGTTTAATTACTGTTTCAGAACCTAAAAAGATTGTTAGATTGTTTAAACAGAGATGCATGATCGTAGTGAATTATATAAGCTAATATTCACCATTACTGTAAGTCACGACTGCAAAGGGAGATGTATTATTATATTATGTTTACAAAATCGAGTATACTATCACATTTTTCAAAGCAAAAATACTAAAATCCGAAACTATTTTTTGTTATTTGTTTGAAATGGGAAATCAGAAAGAAATAGTGAAAACGACGCGCTGCCAGCAATGACAGAAGCGTTCTAAACGCGCCCCTCGCGAGATCTCACTAGAAGCATGAATGTTTTTTCCATTCATACTTAATAATCTACAAAGCCTAGATTATAGAGGGGACAAGTTTTATGCGCTTCCGTCATACCTACGAAGCAGAAACGCACTTCATAATTTTCACATTGCCCATCAAATTGGTCTTGATTACGGCAAATAAACCCGTTAATTGCATCGTTACTGTAGAACACTTCTCCCGTGGTCTGGGCAGGACGGTTGCCTTCAACGGTGCGAACATCGATGACTGTCGTGTTGTCACACATAGGGTTAATCCCACTCTTGCATAACATAAATAGTGTTTCAAAATCGCCAAGTGAATCAACGGGTGTCGTTATATCGAACCATTCCGTCCAATCATAGATACATTCAACTGTCGTATTTACTGTTTGAGAAGAAAAATAAATCATGTGTCATGTTGTTATTATTTTATTGGCATAACCATGAAATGATATACTAATTCAGATACATACTCCCATTCATCTTGTTGGCAAATAACAATGCTTAAACTAATCACATTTCCCGTTTTTGAGTGAATATTACGTTGCTAAAATACGTTGAAAAAAGTACTTGCAAATATAATTATTGAAATAAAAGTTCAATGTCATTACTAATATAATAATTACCAGCTGGGCAACATACTCCTTGGCTGGGTGCAATATGTCTACAATAATGACCAGCTGGGCAATCATGTGACGAACAGTTGAATACAATTCCGTCATAATGCAATGGATCTGAGTCAGGGCAAAGTATACCTCCACTGGATTCTAAAGTGAAAAAGTGTTGCTGATTAAATATTAATCACGATATATATCAATGACGATATCTAATCCAGAAATTGTATTGAAAATGCGCTTTGTGTGTTTCACCTAGACTATTAATAAGTGTAGAAGGCAATCGCTTGTTCATGTACGGCTTATGGGATGATATCAGTTAAGTTTCGATTTCCTTTGCACCTTAGAACTAATAATTGTGAGTCATACGTTCATCATGTTTACATGTAATTTGAGAAGATCTTACCACACAGATGGTCAGAGCAAACGGCGTTACCATCGTTACACTCGCTGAAATGAAAGCAGATATCATATGAATTATGCAATGTATTTGTATTATAAGTCTCTCTATGCCCGGTCTGGAAACAACTAGCGTTCTTTTGTCTCGAACCGCGATGCGGGTAAACAAACGGCTCAAATCCGGGCCGAGGGAGTCGGGAAGTCAGACAGAATACAATACCGTCAGAATATTCATTAAAATCGGCAAATTTACCGTCATGCAAAGCGATATCTTATTGTACGACTTCACTTTGACTTCAAATTCGGGCAACCACAACGTAAACAGAATTAGCACTATGAAATTAGGGGGTTTTGAACCCTGATATGTATCAAAACCAGCCTACCAACTCATAAACATCTAGTTCCTGCCATGTAACGATTAATATCGGGAATTATGTTCATCTTCTAGTTTAATAGGGAAAAAACTTCGCGTAACATCATGCTGACATCGCTAAACAAATCTTGTCAAAATGGCGTCGTTCATCATGTTAACGTGGTCGATCGAAAAACCTATGATATTTCTGATTCTTGGGGGTTCATAACAGTTTAAGTCAACTATACAACAACGATGTAAAGTATGTTGTATATAAATGATGTTTTAGCACTGAATAGCGTACATTGTCATTTCAAAACGTCGCCATTTGCATTTACTATCGGAATAGCATCCATAAAAATCGCTCAATTTAACGTAAATAAAATGCGGTGTGACACATAACAAATCAGTCCACCAATTTTTAATATGTTTCGACTATAAAATGTCCAAATCGAAGACAAATATTGGTTTTGCGTTGAGAAGTAGGGTAAATAAAATTTCATTTCAATCACCCAAAAATTAAACACGAAATGTTTCTGGGTATAAAGGTATGAAACTTTGTTTCGTTGCTGGTAAAATAGATGAATTAAAGAACTACTCGCCGGCTAAAATATGACCTTATACAGATATCCTGATTAAAAGATTATGTGAAAAAGCTTGAATTCTGGAATAAACAACTAAGTTAAAAAGAAACATAGCACTGACGATGTTTCCAGACCGGGGATAGAGGGACTATGATTAAACGAATAATGAACGGCGAAAGATGTGGTTATGCTTACCATATTAGACAACTGTCTATCCATTTATCACCATGTCTGTATTCAATACCATTTGTTGAGTTGCAGTTCACTGGATAACAATGACATGTGACGTGATTTGAAATTAGAACAGTGTAGGTAGGGAAACCTTATCAAGAAAAACAATTACATTTTCTACCTACTTCAAAAAATTATTAAAACTATTTAGTAAGTAACCGTCGTGTAAAAACAGGCATAAATGGGAACTAATTTTAAGTGAGTCAAAAGGTGAACGACGTTTACTATTTGCTTTGCTTTTACAAGTCAATCACAGTATAAAACTAGGTTTTAAATAAAAGTAATTAAGTTTTTAGCGACGAACAGTGGTTTAATTGAATGCGAAAAACGGAATTCGTGCTGTGCAAATCATGCGAATCAGGGTTGGAAACATCGATCAATATCGTTTATGAATGCGATTGAATTAATTTGTTCTGGACATAAAAAAGATTGTACGGATATACAAAAATTTACATTACATGACATATTGCTAAACAGTGATAAATACTCCGCACTGTTAGGTAACTTCAATTATTGCAATATTCAAGTGGAACTGCTTTACATATAGCGTAATTTCCAATTAACGTAAGTTTACATTAACGTGATGCAAATATGGGAAAGTGTTTAGTTCAACTAACGTATATCTTAGTGGTTTGAATTCATTGTGTAATAATTTATAAACTTAATGTATTTGTCATGTTTTATTTGTTCCTTTTACTTCTGTTTTTTATGTATTCTACTTTTTTTTATACACGTCTGTATACCCTATATGGAAATCACAATGCAGTTGCAACTTTTGGCAGTTGCCTTTTTGGCAGCTTTACGTACGCAGAATAGTATTGTTGAAGTGAAACAACTAAATTGTAATTATTGTTATTTGAAACAATTGTAATCAACAGGAAGTACACTGTCTATTATAGTACTGTACAATAAATACTAACAGCAGTGATGCTAATCTTGAATTTAATGTCTCGAAAAGCTTGAAAAAACGAGGATTTAATGGAGATACGTACAAGAACAATGAACCTCTTTCAAAGTCAACGGATCATACGCTGTTGGTTGACAGTCCGCACAGGGATTGGCTTTGCATACAGCGTTGGGATATCCATTGCATTCAAATCCGTCACATACATCAGATTCGCAGGTACCTGGTCTTTTACCGGTATCCGGACACACCGGGCAACAACCACTACCGGATGGACCCCTGTAACAATAAGTCAGTGGATTCTTCATGGTGCATTTCCTGGTCCTGGAACAGCTTATAATTCTCTCATCACTGGACATGAGAAGTGGGAAGTCGTAGGGACACCTGTCAATGGTGGCCATTGCTATAACATAGAAGTTTGTATAAATAGTTTTAAGTGAGCTATGAAGCAATTGTGAATGAATCAGTAGTTGATAATATTCAGAAATATGTTTATATTTTGTGTTTGTGCAGGTAAATCAGGTTGAACTACTAGGAATAATATTTGGCAGCCAGCATAGCACAGTAATTGTCTGGAAACGTCCTAATTTCGTGATAACATAGGTAAAGAATGGGAGCCCAGCCATGAGACAGTATATCAGTAAGAATTATACCACACTTAGATTTAATTGTAAATTATTTCATTAAAAGATATTGATTTCATCATACCTCTACAATTGATGCCATCACCGATATATTCATTTGCGCATGTGCAGTTAAACAAGCCCATGGTGTTTGTGCAATAAGCATTAGCGTCACAATTGTGTTCGCCAGTCACACATTCGTTGATGTCTAAAGTAGAACAGATAATACCTATGAAGTACTTCTCAAATATACTGAACCCCACCTGTAAATGTATAGCTATATATTTATACATTTTGTTTTAACACATGTTCACGACAATTGAGTCTTGAAATAAATATGTTTACAGAATCACTAAAATATTTAAACAGGTTTTCATGTAATTTGCTCCGAAACAACAACATCATTTGAACGAACAAGTCATAAGTAAAACATGCAAGTAGTAAATATGAATTTACATAAAAAATAATCAACAGCTGGGTTTGGGTTGATTTATTTGTCTGCTGATACATGTCTGCGTAATCGATTACCGTGTTTGTGTTGATCTCAAAAGGGTCTCCGTGTGTAAATCCGCGAGTTGTTCATTGGTATACGTTTAAAAATAACAATTATACGTCAATTTGGTCACAGATCTACGCATCCTGCCCATCCCACCACACTTACCCACACAGGTGAAACCATCAACAATATAGCCAGCTTTGCACTGACACGTGAAAGAACCTGGTCTATTAATACAAAGGGCATTGAGGTCACAGTCATGGACATCAAGCTCACATTCGTCAATATCTGTAAATATGGATACCGTGAGACTATTAACAAAAGGCGAGGTATGTCATTCAGTCAAATGCTTTATATGCAAGGATGAAATAGGTGACTGTTTTGTGCAGAATGAATAAATAACACGTCACATGGCTGACCATGTGGGCAGGATAAGTACGTGTTGCTAGGAAACGTGCGTTTTAGTTGTGTTAGTATTATTAGAACTGCATTTAAATGACTACAGCCATGGTGTATGACAGCTGTAAATAGTGACTGGTCTTATTCAGGCAATATTTCGTTAACTAATGTCTACATATAACAAATATTTGTTTGACTTGCCCTGACACGTGATCCCGTCGCCATAAAACCCTTGAACGCAGCTACACGAGTAAGAACCAGGTAAATTGATGCATAATGCATCAGTGTCGCAGTCATTTGACCCCAAACACTCGTCTATATCTGTAATTTGAAATACAGTATATCATTGCTGTCGTTATAGAACTGTACACCTCTGCATACTGCCATCTCAATGTACATGTTTCAATTGTCAGGGTATCGTCTAATTAATTCATTTCTTCAATTGAAGTAACGACTGCAAAGAATACCTCACCCTCGCATATGAGACCTGTCCCTGTAAATCCATCGATGCATTGACACATGAAAGAACCGGGTATATTAGTACACATAGCATTGACGTCACAAGCATGGATACCAGACTCGCATTCGTCGACATCTACAATCAGATAATAACATGGAATTCAATAACGTTGACATACTGAGGCAGTTCGAGCCGAGTTTAAATGTTTCACTACTGGACATATGTGCATAGATTCATTTTCCACTGTATTTATAGGATATCTATTATAATACTGGAAGCTCACTTAATTGAATGAACATCATTTTAAAATGATTTACCTTGGCATGTCTGTCCGTTCCATGAAAATCCGTTATTACATTCGCATTGATACGAACCAGGTGAATTTGTACAATGGGAATTATCACCACAGTGAACCGATAGACATTCGTCAATATCTGAAAAACAATGAGATGAAATGTACATATACTTTACCTGTACTGCGTAGGACATGTGTATGTGTTAATGTGTACTAAAATGGCCGTTCATGTGAAATTAAGTGTTGCAAATGATTCGCAAGTTCGCAATCGAATAAGGCTGTCAAGTTAGGCTATACTGAGACTGTCACATTGCTTGGCAATCAACCACTGTACACTCTCAGGCAATAACATCGAACCAATATGTAGTAAAAAATTGCCAGAAATATAACATTTTATTTTTGTGTCACACAGTCAAAACATTGACAAAGATTTGAATTCCAGAGCTGTAGTTAGGTGATACAATAAATATATTGTTTGACTATATTAAGAACATCTTAAATTCTTTTATGAATTGATATATATTTTTTTATAAAACAGTGTCTCATTATCTAAGATTTATGGTAGCAATAATCAGAATATCGTCCAACTAATTCATTTCTGCAATAGAAGCAATTACGAATAACTACAACGAATACCTCACCCTCGCATACGAGACCTGTTCCCGTAAATCCATCGATGCATTGACACATGAAAGAACCTGGTATATTAATACATAAAGCATTGACGTCACAAGCATGGATACCAGACTCGCATTCGTCGACATCTACAATCAGATAATTACATGGAATTCAATAACTTTAACATACTGAAGAAGTCCGAGTGGAGTTCAAATGTTTCACTACTGAACATATGTTAATGGAGAAAACATTCCACTGTATTTATAGAAAACCTATTATAATACCTGAAGTTCACTTAATTAAAGGTCAAATAATTAAAAAAATGTTTTAACAATATATTATCAATAATACATGTACTTATGTCGTTGAGCTAAATATGAGGAATGTTTCACTCTTAAAACAGTGCAACAGTGATCATTTCAGTGGCAATTTGGAATTGTAAGAAGATCAAAAGTACATGAAAAAATCAGAGCGTCTGCTTTCAGAATATTGAGGCATGTTATGTCTCAAAACGCATTACTGCGTAAATTGTTGCGTTGCGTTGCGTTACCTTGGCAAGTCTGTCCGTCCCATGAAAATCCGTTATTACATTCGCATTGATACGAACCAGGTAAATTAGTACAATGGAAATTATCGCCACATTGAACCGATAAACATTCGTCAATATCTGAAAACAATGAGATGAAATGTACAAATCATGTCCATGCTATGAAGTGATATATCATTTGGTTTGTAATTAGATTTGACAACATCGCATATGTGACCTCTTGGCAATAAAATTACATTGGTAAAACTGAAACAATTTAATTCAACAAGCGAGTTTGCGGTCGAGATAGACGGTTATGAAGCAACTTAGCCTGGCAATCAACTGAAACACTCACAAGTAAGAACACAGACACAATATGAAGTAGATAATTGCCAGACTAATAAATAAATCTTTGAATAACAATCTCGCGAAATTCATCTGTTAGGCAAATGAAAAACTCGTACAGTGTTTATAATTAACATTGATTAGAACAATGGCAAAATACTTCTGCAAAGGTAATTACCATCAACTCATCAAAACAATTAGGTTGATGGTCGTCACGAACTATTCAAAAATAGTTTGTTTTTTTCTACGAAATCAACTAACTGAATAATTTGATCCGTCAATGCAACATGTCGCGCGCGACTAAACGGGCGACGTGAGAAAACAGTGATTGCACTGTACGGTTTTCTACGTCATCGTCTTCAACGGACCCCATGCAACGGGTTACCTTGGCATTGGTGGCCATCTCCCGTGAAGCCTTGATTGCAGCGGCATTCGAACGATGAGGGAGTGTCAGTACAGTTTGCATTTACATCACATGTATGTGTCCCAGTACTACACTCGTCGACAGCTACAGAGTAAAGAAACAAAGGGAAACGTGAGCATATACTAGTAATACAACATTTCTATAAATTGCGCCCTCTTGCAATGACGTCAAAATGACGTCTTACTGATGTAAGAGCGATGTCGTTCTAATCGACCATTGTGCTTGTTTGGTTGTATGAACGTTCGTCGTCTCGGTTTTTTTTTAATTTGACGACTACAGTATAAAACGATATCGACGCTCTGAACGGCCTCCGTGTTACCTAGTTACGTCACAGGAACGCGTTGTCGCTGGAGGGCGCTATTTATTGGAAAGGCGTTTTAAGGTAGAAGCCGAGTCATAATTTTTGACAAAATTGGTCATAAATCGCATGACAATGTTTATTAGTTTATTATGTACAGTCATAAAGCTGATGTCCCATGGTACAATGAAATGGCATTATTTGTGTGTTACAGTTGAGCTTTTTGAGAAATGTGTCCTAACATTTCTTGAAAAGTGCTATTTTTAGAACAATTCCATAGAACACAATGTTAAAGAAAAATTGTTGACACTTTTTAAAACCCAGATTTTTAAAAAAATTCAGAACAAAAAGTACTCCATCATCAACAGCACGTCTGTATACCCTATATGGAAATCACAATGCAGTTGCAACTTTTGGCAGTTGCCTTTTTGGCAGCTTTACGTGCGCAGAATAGTATTGTTGAAGTGAAACAACTAAATTGTAATTTTTGTTATTTGAAACAATTGTAATCAACAGGAAGTACACTGTCTATTATAGTACTGTACAATAAATACTAACAGCAGTGATGCTAATCTTGAATTTAATGTCTCGAAAAGCTTGAAAAAACGAGGATTTAATGGAGATACGTACAAGAACAATGAACCTCTTTCAAAGTCAACGGATCATACGCTGTTGGTTGACAGTCCGCACAGGGATTGGCTTTGCATACAGCGTAGGGATATCCATTGCATTCAAATCCGTCACATACATCAGATTCGCAGGTACCTGGGGTTTTACCGGTATCCGGACACACCGGGCAACAACCACTACCGGATGGACCCCTGTAACAATAAGTCATTGGATTCTTCACGGTGCATCTCCTGGTCCTGGAACAGCTCATAATTCTGTCATCACTGGACACGAGAAGTGGGAAGTCGTAGGGACACCTGTCAATGGTGGCCATTGCTATAACATAGAAGTTTGTATAAATAGTTTTAAGTGAGCTATGAAGCAATTGTGAATGAATCAGTAGTTGATAATATTCAGAAATATGTTTATATTTTGTGTTTGTGCAGGTAAATCAGGTTGAACTACTAGGAATAATATTTGGCAGCCAGCATAGTACAGTAATTGTCTGGAAACGTTCTAATTTCGTGATAACATAGGTAAAGAATGGGAGCCCAGCCATGAGACAGTATATCAGTAAGGATTATACCACACTTAGATTTAATTGTAAATTATTTCATTAAAAGATATTGATTTCATCATACCTCTACAATTGATGCCATCACCGATATATTCATTTGCGCATGTGCAGTTAAACGAGCCCATGGTGTTTGTGCAATAAGCATTAGCGTCACAATTGTGTTCGCCAGTCACACATTCGTTGATGTCTAAAGTAGAACAGATAATACCTATGAAATACTTCTCAAATATACTGAACCCCACCTGTAAATGTATAGCTATATATTTATACATTTTGTTTTAACACGTGTTCACTACAATTGAGTCTTGAAATAAATATGTTTACAGAATCACTAAAATATTTAAACAGGTTTTCATGTAATTTGCTCCGAAACAACAACATCATTTGAACGAACAAGTCATAAGTAAAACATGCAAGTAGTAAATATGAATTTACATAAAAAATAATCAACAGCTGGGTTTGGGTTGATTTATTTGTCTGCTGATACATGTCTGCGTAATCGATTACCGTGTTTTTTGTTGATCTCAAAAGGGTCTCCGTGTGTAAATCCGCGAGTTGTTCATTAGTATACGTTTAAAAATAACAATTATACGTCAATTTGGTCACAGATCTACGCATCCTGCCCATCCCACCACACTTACCCACACAGGTAAAACCATCAACAATATAGCCAGCTTTGCACTGACACGTGAAAGAACCTGGTCTATTAATACAAAGGGCATTGAGGTCACAGTCATGGACATCAAGCTCACATTCGTCAATATCTGTAAATATGGATACCGTGAGACTATTAACAAAAGTCGAGGTATGTCATTCAAGTCAAATGCTTTATATGCAAGGATGAAATAGGTGACTGTTTTGTGCAGAATGAATAAATAACACGTCACATGGCTGGCCATGTGGGCAGGATAAGTACGTGTTGCTAGGAAACGTGCGTTTTAGTTGTTTTAGTATTATTAGAACTGCATTTAAATGACTACAGCGATGGTGTATGACAGCTGTAAATAGTGACTGGCCTTATTCAGGCAACATTTCGTTAACTAATGTCTACATATAACAAATATTTATTTGACTTGCCCTGACACGTGATCCCGTCGCCATAAAACCCTTGAACGCAGCTACACGAGTAAGAACCAGGTAAATTGATGCATAATGCATCAGTGCCGCAGTCATTTGACCCCAAACACTCGTCTATATCTGTAATTTGAAATACAGTATATCATTGCTGTCGTTATAGAACTGTACACCTCTGCATACTGCCATCTCAATGTACATGTTTTAATTGTCAGGGTATCGTCTAACTAATTCATTTCTTCAATGGAAGTAACGACTGCAAAAAATACCTCACCCTCGCATATGAGACCTGTTCCCGTAAATCCATCGATGCATTGACACATGAAAGAACCTGGTATATTAATACATAAAGCATTGACGTCACAAGCATGGATACCAGACTCGCATTCGTCGACATCTACAATCAGATAATGACATGGAATTCAATAACTTTAAAATACTGAAGAAGTCCGAGTGGAGTTCAAATGTTTCACTACTGAACATATGCTAATGCAGAAAACTTTCCACTGTATTTATAAAAAACTTATTATAATACCTGAAGCTCACTTAATTAAAAGTCAAATAATTAAAAAAAATGTTTTAATAATATATTATCAATAATAATACATATACCGATACTTATGTCGTTGAGCTAAATATGAGGAATGTTTCACTCTCAAAACAGTACAACAGTGATCATTTCAGTGGCAATTTGGAATGGTAAGAAGTACATGAAAAATCAGAGCGTCTGCTTTTGTAATATTGAGGAATGTTATGTCTCAAAACGCATTACTGCGTAAAACGTTGCGTTGCGTTACCTTGGCATGTCTGTCCGTCCCATGAAAATCCGTTATTACATTCGCATTGATACCAACCAGGTAAATTAGTACAATGGGAATTATCGCCACATTGAACCGATAAACATTCGTCAATATCTGAAAACAATAAGATGAAATGTACATATCATGTCCATGCTATGAAAAGATATATCATTTGGTTTGTAAATAGATTTGACAACATCGCATATGCGACCTCTTGGCAATAAAATTATATTGGTAAAACTGAAACAATTTAATTCAACAAGCGAGTTTGCGGTCGAGATAGACGGTTATGAAGCAACTTAGCCTGGCAATCAACTGAAACACTCACAAGCAAGAACACAGGCACAATATGAAGTAGATAATTGCCAGACTGATAAACAAATCTTTGAATAACAATCTCGCGAAATTCATCTGTTAGGCAAATGAAAAACTCGTACAGTGTGTATAATTAACATTGATTAGAACAATGGCAAAATACTTCTGCAAAGGTAATTACCATCAACTCATCAAAACAATTAGGTTGATGGTCGTTACGCACTATTCAAGAATAGTTTTTTTTTCTACGAAATCAACTAACTGAATAATTTGATCCGTCAATGCAACATGTCGCGTGCGACTAAACGGGCGACGTGAGACGCGGTGAGAAAATAGTGATTGCACTTTACGGTTTTCTACGTCATCGTCTTCAACGGACCCCATGCAACGGGTTACCTTGGCATTGGTGGCCATCTCCCGTGAAGCCTTGATTGCAGCGGCATTCGAACGTTGAGGGAGTGTCAGTACAGTTTGCATTTACATCACATGTATGTGTCCCAGTACTACACTCGTCGACAGCTACAGAGTAAAGAAACAAAGGGAAACATGAGCATGAGCATATACTAGTAATACAACATTTCTATAAATTGCGCCCTCTTGCAATGACGTCAAAAATTACGTTTACTGATGTAAGAGCAATGTCGTTCTAATCGACCATTGTGCTTGTTTGGTTGTATGAACGTTCGTCGTCTCGGATTTTCTTTAATTTGACGACTACAGTATAAAACGATATCGACGCTCTGAACGGCCTCCGTGTTACCTAGTTACGTCATAGGAACACGTTGTCGCTGGAGGGCGCTATTTATTGGAAAGGAGTTTTAAGGTAGAAGCCTCGTCATAATTTTTGACAAAATTGGTCATAAATCGCATGACAATGTTTATTAGTTTATTATGTACAGTCATAAAGCTGATGTCCCATGGTACAATGAAATGGCATTATTTTGTGTGTTACAGTTGAGCTTTTTGAGAAATGTGTCCTAATATTTCTTGAAAAGTGCTATTTTAGAACAATTCCATGGAACACAATGTTAAAGAAAAATTGTTGACACTTTTTAAAACCCAGATTGTTTAAATAATTCAGAACAACAAATGGTACTCCATCATTAACAATATATGATTTTTTTCAGCCTATGTCCCCAGGCTAAATTTTGAGATATTGCATAATATCTCTGCCACAGGAACCTATGGTAAAAGTGTTATAATAGTGACAAAATGGCGACTGGCGACTAAAACACAACCACCATTTTCTCGAAAAAAAAAGGATGGTGACCCCAACTTTTTTAGGTCAATATCCTTGTATTGCCTTGGAGTACATTTTATTACAAAATGAATAAATTGTGGGTATTTTAATTTATGTGTAGGCTTCTACCTTAACATGAACTAGAGTGACTGTTTTTGTTATCACAGTACCTGATGTTAATTCATTAATGTTGTTAATAATTTTGGCTAAATTTGTAATATAGATATAAAATTATTGTATACTAATAATACTTTTTACATCTTTCTGGTCCTGAAGTTGTTAATACTGTAATACAAGTACACACACATTTTGAATTGCAGATTTGTCAAATAATTCATACGCTATTTTCGTCAATTCAAAAGCATTTACTACGTGAATAATATACAAGTGCAAAATTGAAATTATATGAATTATAATGTTGTCATGGCAACTTAATCGGAAAATGTCTGCCTCGCATACTGCGAACTGAACGTTGTTAACCATAAATAATATCAAAAGATACAGCCGTTCTTGAAACATTGAGCACTTCGTCCAGCAGCAACAATGTTAGGTCTTCTTTCTTACCTACTCTTTAAGGTTTGTTTTCAGCAATAATCTAGTTTTGTATAGTTTCAAATTTTGCAGAGATTCAATATCGAACACAGGATAAAAAGTAAGCACTTGACAATAGTACAATGGCGTGCGGTACTTACGACAACGTTCATCAGTACAAGTCAGTACCCCCACTTCACACTGGCTGTAACAAAGATGTGACATTTATTTATGGATTGAGTGCCAAGAAAATATTGCGTAGTTTTCTCACTTTCAACGAAATTTCGTCGACCATGTATTTCTATAAAGTCTATTAGCTACATACCATGCTGACTAAAAAGACATGTTAACAAACGCACATTAAACTCTCCGTTAAAGGGCGATAAAGGGCGCATGCGCGTCATTCGTGTTCTTGATAAACACTGATTTTCCCATACTTCAATGCGCTCTTCTAAGGGAAATCACGAGTTCGACCTGTGCGCGACGTGCACTAATTACCTCCGCCGACTCCTTCGATACCTTCCAATCACAGAAGAAGCTCGATAACATCTCAGTTTGTAGTCATTGGTCTGCGCAACAGACAAAGTCGCCATCTTTGTTCATATGAGACAATTTCTCGCGCGTGCGTTACGCGAAGTCCACCATTCTTTAATATATTGAATATACATAAGACAATTAACAACTCGAGAATAACGAGAACTACATGGTCTAATTCAGTCTGGGAGATAAATTTATGAAGACAAAAGCCGACAAAGTAGCGTAGAGTATATTGTAACATAGCTTAGGATACTTACAAATTATCGAAACCATAATTAGTAAGTAGTTTTTATTATGAACTTATGAACAATAACAATAAGATGTATTTATTCTGGGTTCACTTGTGTATACCTCGAGACACAGGTGCATCAATAATTGTGACAATAAGACTACTTACCAGCTGAGACATCCGTCCATCCACTGCTCCCCATCAAAAGCAATCTCTCCATCTTCTAATACACAGTAGTTTTCTGTATTTAAATAAACATATGTGCATTTGTCATTTTTCATGTAATTTGTGAGGGAGTCTAATCATAAATGTTTTCGTTTCATATTCATAGGCTGAACGTTTAAAAACGGAAGTTCCGTTCCATGGCCACGTGATGTAACACCTCGTGTTATCAAATGACACTCTTCGTGTGATTACGAGGTTATGAAAATGTGCCGGGTCTTATTCGCAAGTATAGGTTAACCATAAATTAACAACATTCGGACGGTCGGTCGTAATGGCCGTACGATCCTAATAAGCAGTAATTAACATTTTTTGACAAAATGAGTATTTCATCTTCAGATAAAGCAAATCATTCCAAATTTGGGCAATTTAGAAATTAAAAAGAATTATTATTATGTTATAATAATATAAAATAATATAAAATAATATAAAATAATATAAAATAATATAAAATATAAAATAATATAAAATAATATAAAATAATATAAAAGTCGCTTCCATGGCAACGGAAAACAGTCGTGTATATTTTATAGGGTTCTTTTAGGTAATTATGAGTCAAAGTTTACGAACCATATTTGTATTAGATAGAAATCCATAGCAACCAAATGCTAATAATTCTCGTTTTGCTACAATCACATATGTGTATCGTTAATAAAAGCCGTAAAATCATGCATATCTGACAATTGTGAGAGAAAAACGTTTATAATACAGAGACGGTAGTGACGAGCGGTAGATTAGAAATGTGTTAACGTGCTAATAATGGCACGAGATTAGGATGTTCCGCGCGTTAAACAAACAAACAAACAAACAAACAAACCGACACACGTAACTCACTAAATAATCATTACACATTTGCTACTCGTGCTACCGCCATTCTGTCACTAAATAGCAAGTGTTTTTATTTTGGCCACAAAAATGACAACGTAAGATTTTCGAGGACTCGATTGTACGGGTTTGTTCACCACTGTTCACTGAGTTGTTTATTGGCGACCAGCACTACTGGGATTACATTTGTCTGTATGTCTGTCTTCATGTACGTATCAACTCTTCTGATTTTCTTTGTTTTTTCTTTGTGCAGATTACGTTATGAAAACCTGTTGCCATGACAACAACTCAAAACCATGTTTCCTACCTTCGTGCCAAATGTAGCAACATATCTCATTCTACTTAACTTGAGTGTACCTAACGTATTATTATTTGATATCTTTCTTCGTTGTCGAGAAATTTCACCTGGAAATTCTGGTAGCTTTTTCGTCGCGGGGGGGGGGGGCGATTTTGTTCAATCTTCACAGCCGGGTCACACCAGCAGTTAAGTGGTAAAATTGAACAACAATTCCTGCCCTACCATAATCACCATGGCAACATTTCGCACATATCTCATTCTACCCTGCTTGAGTGTCTGTGCTCAAAGTTAAAATGTTGTTTTTGAGTCAAGGGCACAGAATTTCCGAATGCCAAAAGCGTTCAAAAGTTCAAGTCCATAAATCATTCAAATTTACTAAGTCTTAAAGTTCGTGGAGAAAGTGTTGAAGTCAGTTCAATCTAAGCACGGTCCCTCTATCAGATAGAGGGACTGTGATCTGAGTAACGTTAAGCTTGGCAACGAGCTGTTTATTCTACCGGTCTACTATTGTTTGGACCGATTTCGATCTTGATAGGCTGGTACGGTCACGGGCCAACAACATGATTGTTTGCATTCCCAACGGATCGCCAACCAGATCACCACACCTTGTCAAAAAAATGTTGGCGATTTTGAAAAAAAAATAGTTTTCAAGATACAGCAAGAAAAATGTGCAAAACTGGGATAATAAATCAATTCCGATGGTACCCTAACTGACTACACCAGTATTGTCACAGGCGTAGTTAGTTAGAGAGTAATAGTTGTAGAAAAGGTACTAGTACGTTACAAAAACATGCAATACACTTTGCGCGCCCTCTAGCGACTAAGTGCTTCCGTGGATTAGAAATGAGTTAGATGGGTCCAGTGCGACGAATTCAAGGAAAAACGGTGCGAGAGGACTTGAATAATGTGGATGGAGAAGGATCAGATTACCTGGACACCGTATGCCCTCGAGGGTTACCGAGTCAAATACGACTATTTCACATGACACGCACTTATCGGCTTTGCACACGGCACTAGGATATCCCGCGCATACAAAATCTGCGCATATCGCCTGATCACAAAACGAATATGGTCTTTTGCCGTTGCTACATAGAGGGCAGCATACACCACTGGAACAGAAATGGTCTGCGGACCATGCGCCGCAACCACTTCTACTGCAGGCTACTGGATTGCCATCTGTTGATAGTAACGGTATCCCTGACGGACAACTGTAGAATATGTCTGTAAAAGAGAAAGATAAGTGTCATCTGTTTAATTAAATGAGTTTACAGCGAATAACAAAGTTATATTTACTGGGCAATGTGTATTGATTCAGACACATAGCGATGAAAACATAATATCTCGTTTACTGATTTATCGAACATTTTGATTCGTTGTTTGACGCCTACGTTTCAAAACACAAAATGAGCATGACACACGTTTTACAATTACTGTCCTCAGAGACTGAATTACAGCACTATTTTGAAGTTTTGATCAATTTCACTGGGAGAAAACAATGAGAGCTATCGTATTTTATATATTCACATGCATTTAAATTAGCGGATTTTACTTATATTATCTGTGAGAATTGCAAAATTAAATATCCGTGAATTATTATTGCGTTTACAGTGTCGTTTGTAAAACCGCCAAGCTTCGTAGATTGACCTCGCATTTAGTTTACTCAAACTGATTGAGCATTTTTGGAATACGTCACCTGCTATTTGAAAAAAAGAGTGTTTCACGTGCCATGGTTTGTTTAGACATAGAAATACCAAATGCCCAACAGACTGCGCACACTGGCATATTTCGTAGTCCATTCAAGATATTTTGGTCAGTTTGGCCTGAAAACAAAACACCGTAACAATCACATTTTCCGTAGCATCTCGTCATGATGCAACTGTCATTTTGCCCTAATTATACCCTCCGTTAATTAATTAATGACTACAATGATCACAAAGTGGTTGTATAAGTTTCAAGACATATAATCATGTTTCTTTTTTTCTATGAAAGTGTAAATGACAAATATTTACACATTTTAAATTCAGGGTGGGTAAAATAAACTTGCACAACAATAACCCTTGCAAAATAATAATCTTTATTCTGGATTGAATAAATAAATAAATACGAACAAGCGGTTATTCAAATGTTTGTATGAGGAACGCCCAAAAATCAGCGGCCGAAACGTCGGTGGTCGGCATTTGAATCAGGTAGGGGATTATAACTAAGTTTACTATATGTACGAAATATTCTGAGTTACAACGTTCTATTGTCTGAGGTCTGTGGAATAAATTGCGCATTGCCTCGTCCAGTGTAAAAAAAAAACTAGTTTGAACGCGAGTATCGGTAATTTTGAGTATTTGTGTTTTATTACCCAAAGTTAGGACGTATCGGAAATCAAATACTTTTATGCGTACGCATATGGGCATGCGCAGTGCATTATTAAGTTTTCGATGAATACCATGCTGCAAAAATAGTGGGCTTACTTTACAATTAATGTGTGTGTCGATATACAATACCGCACACAAATATTAACGAGACGTAGTAACGATTGTATACATGTACACACATAATGCAAACGAAACTGTGCTATTTCGCCAGATGGCAAGTCATCCGGTTCTCAAGAGCATACTTTAATTAATCGCATCTGCCGTGCGTAACTCTACACTTACACTAACACAACAAAGCACCTATTATTGTCGCGAGTGTAATTGAATGTGTATTTCATCGAAATGATATACATACGTGTTATAATTATTCAAGGATTGGGTTTAGTGTTACACATGAGTCAACCAAAAATTCATGTTGCTTGGAAACACGAGGACGACTTGCTAGCTTCCAGCGCGTCGAAATTGGGAACAAGAATTTCTATTGCAAATTTGGCAGAAAGAACACTCGAAAACAATCAGAATAAACATCTCAGAATATATAGTATTGCGTCATGCCAAATCAGAATGTTTGACAGATAGATAAACAATCAGACTTGGTTAAAGCGACACGGTCGTCACGCAGCGCGTGGTTTAATTTCGTGTTAATAAACAAAGTACTTTACATGCGTTGCATACGTTGCTATAGGTCCCATATCGAACACGACGCGGTGTTGTGCTTTTTCTTGGATTGAAACTGTATGTGATCTTCCTTTGTGGATCACCATGACTACATGAAAAGAATAATATTACAATTCTCCATTTGTTTTTCAACCAAATTTGTTGCTTATTTTTGATTTGCGGTTTTCTCAACGGGTGAACAATATCGACTTCCACAACATAGCTTGGTTACAATTTAGACGTTGAATAATTAGGCAATAAATTTGCTTTATCAACGCACAAATTACGACTGCTTCGATCGTTACGTCTATATATCTATACAAGATTGAATGGGAAATCTCTGGACAAACTGATGTACTATGGATTTTAGGGTTTATTTCACAAACTTAATGTGATTTTAATAAAGTCTGAATAAAAATTTGAACTATCCTACGAGCCTATTTTTTTATAACGATTTAAAAAGACACGCAAAGCAGACGACATTTGCCCCGTTTCTTACGGATAGCCGCTGCTGGGGGTCCATTGTTTCAGTGACGTTGTTAATGAACCACCCTGATTGGTCAATTGGAAGTACGCCAGAAACTATTGATAGTGCTGCGTTTATGAGCTCCGAGTCGACAGTAATATAAAAAGTTCTTGTATCGATTACAACGTGTATAAACAATATGGTGAGGTGTTCCGCCGTTGGCTGCGACAATGATTCAACAGTGTTAAATTTTATCCAATTCCAAGCGAGAAAAGACTGAGGGACCATTGGCTGCGAATGTGATTAAAATCACATTAAGTTCGTGAAATAAACTTTATTGCCAGAAATGGACAATAGAATCTGGTCAAGTAGGGATTTCCCGTCTATCCCATTGCAGTGACTATAATTACATGCAAAATGATTCAAGATGTCATAGACTTTAAAGGTTGAGAGTCTATTGTTATGTTAAGTAGTTCACATCTTGGGGTTGGAAACAATAGTAAGTGAGGTAATCTTTTGTTTTCTTTGTTCTGTGCCCACTTGTATTTGTTAGCTGATCATATGAAGCCATGTAATAAATGGTGTTGGTTGCCAAAGAACGAGATACCATTAGGTACACTCTTATGATGGCATTGAAGACAGTCACCTGTTATATACATAATACAAAAATATGTGAACAGACTAATCTTGTAAATATCATTGTGGACATCAATGACGATTGGTATGCAAATTACGTTTGTCTCACTTATTACAAAACAAAAGTCGCGACTGTCGTGAAACAATACACAACTCCCGGACAGACAGTATGCTGAAACCCCTCTTTTATTAAGAGGAAAAACGGCCGATACAATATATTGATCTTGTGGTCAGACCTTCAGCATCAAAAGCAGTATGGCGATAGTGGTTCGCGTTCGAAAAATAGGGTGATTTAACATGGAATAACGACATAAAATAAATCTTGTTTTAGTTACTTCCTGTTGTTAATTGGATTAAAACAGTTATATTTGTCCACAACTGGATCGTACATCTGTGTAAAAATGCATGAATTTGACTCTAATTTGGGCAGCGAATACTGCGTCTACAACTGCGCCAGCTGCGTCGCAATGTTCATTGAATCAGAGAGTATCCAGAACGAAGCAAACAAACTTTAACAGTCACCTGCGTTACTGCATTTTCTTATTTGTAAAAATAGAGTCTGGCACACAAATACACATCGTCCATTGGTAATACACTGGGCCAGTGTAAAATTTATCATCAGGTTTTACGGCAAGTTGGGCATTTAATGGTGGAGTTTTAATGGAAACATCTATAACATATCGAAAGCTTGGAACGTCACCTGTCTATTACGAAGCACACAAAAGTTAAAAAATGAAAAATATAAACTCAAAATTAAATTTTGTTTTAATATATGTTTATGCAATGCATTTTCTATGGCACATTATGTGATGTTTATTTGACTGTAGTACACTGGCCAGGGCGGAAGTCGGCCATCTTGTCCACTCATTTCTGGCGTTGCTTTCTATGGAATTGCACTGCGAGGCGAAGGTCGTCCAAATAAAATTGACACGATATTTCCACGAAGTTTTTTTACATTGCTGCACCTCGTGGTACTCGGTAGGGCTAAGAGACAGTGACGTGCGTCACTAAGTGTGAAATATTTGACTTAACACTCACCCGTGTCTTGCGACAGCGTATCTTCGTAGAATGCAACCACAACCACGAACACGTAGAACAGAACTCTCATTATATCCAATATCGGCGAGCGCGTGCCTAGAGGGTTATCATATGGTAAAACTCATTACACGTTTGTATGTTCAGAATATTTTTAAATGTTGCAAATCAGTTAAACAGACGTCAACATGTGGAAAAAAACCACTTCGTAAAGATAGCAACGCAACGTCGATATTTTAAAGTACGCAGATTGAAACAATATTAATTTTTTGCAATGTGTACCTGATACTGCGTAAAAACGCGTGGTATATTACGCACGAGTAAGGAGGGCGTTATCTGGAAAGTCAATCTACTTGCAATGAACGAGTGTAAAATCGGTGCTAATCATCCACGGGAACACCAGTACTTTTCAAGTCATTGCGAAGCTACTTACAAGATTGTACCTGATTGGCTACCCAACCTTGACACCAAACAGTTAGACCAATCAGAAAGCTTGTTTGTTGACATGGTGTTTTCGATGTATCAAAATCAGCCTTATGTATATGCTTCGACTCAACTGCTATTTTAATCGAGTCCCATACGTTATATTTTATGGTAATAAGCAAATGCAGAATTGTTTGATACCGACCAGGAATTTGAATTGGGTCATTAAAACAGGTGACATATGTATCAACTAATAACATACGCAAATGTAATTTAATTTTGTTCACTTTTTTTATGTATCGCTATTTTATTTTGGGCACATATATGTAAATGTCTATGTCGTTTTTTGGTAGTGAAATCTGGACTTTTGCATTAGCACTGGCCTCAGAATTGTGAATGGTAGGGTTTATAAAAACACTGGTAGTGGAAATTTTACTTTTATTTCAGAGGTTGGGACAAGTGTTGTTGAC